TATGCTCAGCTTGAGGGGGAGTGTAGAGAAGATGGGCCAAATGGCCCATAGGCTATTTATCCTTTTTATCTTTTATGTTCTTTGCTGTAATGGGCCTTAATCTAGGCTTTATTCTTTCTTATGTTATGTCTTTTTAATTTTCTGCCCAACTAGGGGCTTCTCTGTAAATTACTAAAGTTTAACTTAATGAAACAGAATTAAGGGAGTAAGAGAAGGGATTATGTTAGAAAATCTCTCTCTCTGAACCCAAGTTGTCGCCACCTTCTTCTTCTTCTCTCCTCTTGAACTCTGATTTCTGTTACTTTCTTTTGAATTTTTGCAACTTTCTAAACAGTCCTTTCTTCTTAAAAGGTTGTTTTTCTTCTGATAAAAAGGTACAAGCATCAAAAATGCCTCCTTGAGACATGCGTTAAGGTTTTGGTAGCTATGCTTTATGTTATTGACAAAAGCCACCCTATTAAGGGCATATTAGTCATTGTATTTCCTTTTAATCAATGAGCATCTAATTAATGAGTGGGGCAGCCAGATCTATTATTGGCTTCTCCCAACTCTTCTTCTCACTCCCTTCTTCTCTTCTCTCCAAGAAACTCTTCTTCTTCTTTTCTTTTATTGCTGTTATAAATCTGTTTTTATTTTCTGATTTTCCTACTTGGTATCAGAGCATTTACTAAGGACTTCTGGGATTGCCCCATGGAGCCCTAGATCAGCTGACTGCATGGCGAGATAGAGAGCTAATCGAAGAATTAAAAAGGGTCCAATTATTGGATTTTTTGGTGGATCTAGAACCATATGTGTCTGATCTTGGATTGATCATTGAAATCAGGATGAACTGAAGAAGAAGGAAGAATCCTAATTGCAATAGGATTCTTTATTTTTGACCTAAGAAGTGCTGCTCAAGTTTTTTGACATTCCTTGAGGTTTCCAAAGGGGATCGATCTGCTTCTAGTGGTGTTTCCTTTTTTACAATTGAGGTTTTAGGCTGTTCTGGGAACTATGGAGGGTAGTAGAGTAGAACACAAATCTACTAGTGACATGGAACTAGGTGTAGGAAGTGCTAGTGATCCTTTTGGGGCAGGTACCATCACTACAGTTAAGTTGGATGGTACAAATTATTTGGAGTGGTCACAATTAGCTAAGATGGCTATTAGTGCTCATGGAAAATTGGGGTATGTAACTGGTAAAGAGAAGAAACCCAATACCAACTCTTCCCCGTGGGTGCAGGAGAATTACTTGGTGATGACCTGGATTTGTAATTCTATGTCACCCCATATAAGCAAGAATTTTTTATGGGCTAACACAGATAAGGAAATTTGGGACAGAGTTGCAGAAGTGAGAATGTTACTAGGGTTTACTAGTTAGGGAATCAAGTGATTGGCACAAGGCAAGGAGATAAACCTATTGCAGTCTTTTTTTTTAGTTCTTAAAACCTTGTGGCAAGAGATAGACCATTTGGAGACTATGGTATAGGAGAGTACTAAAGATGTTGCTACTTACTAGAAGCTAGTAGAGAAGAACAAGGTGTTTGAGTTCCTAGCAAGACTTGATCCTGAATATGACATTGCACGACAACATGTTCTTTCCCATAATAGTGTAACTCTTTCTCAGGCATATGCTTTTGTGCCTAGAGAAGAGAGTAAGAGGAATGTTATGTTGAGGAATCTAAGCATTAAGTAGCCGGCTATGGTTAGCACAGTAAAACCTAAGCCTAGTGGAGATAAGGGTGGTAGTGAAAGTAAGAAGGAGGACAAGAAGGATTTGGGCTATGACTATTGTAAGAAGCCTAAACATACCAAAGACACTTGTTGGAAGCATTATGCCATTATCCACATATCATACCAGTTCTACTTAGAAATAAGAAGGGGAATGCTAATATGGCAGTGACTAGAGACTCATCTGGACTCTTACGCCAGCCTCCTTAGAGTTAGTTGTAGTAGTCGTAGTCAGGGTTGAGATGCAAAGATATGGGTAGTATTTGAGTCAAAGAGATATAGTTGGTTCCAATTCTTCATTGGGTGGATAGCAAGGTGCAACTAGCTCCGAGACTAGTCTACTACTTCATATTCTCATACACGTAGTTCATATGCTACTACAAATTATGTCTCCACTACAGGTAAGGGGGGACCTCCCTAGATTATAGATTCAACAATCTCAGAACATATGACCAACATTTTCACACTTTTTTCTTCATACCACCTATGCTCTAATAGAGATTGTCTCTATAAATGATGGTTCCCATGTTTCCATTGCCATGAAGGGGTTGGTCAAAGTAATTGATACCATTACCCTGCCTTCTATACTGTAAGTTCCTAGACTACATGCTAATCTTTTATCTGTGAGCAATTTGACTAAAAATTTGAATTGTTCAGTGTAGAGAACACTGATGTGGACCCCACTGGTGTAGACCCCGCTGTGTTCGTGTGACAGTAGTAGGCAGTTAGTTATGTTAGTTTTCAGTTGTTAGTAGTTGGTAGTTTATTTCAGTTTTATATTAGTCTTATCTTAGTATTTTGCCATGTAAGCAATAAAGGTAATTCAACCATTTTTACAATCCTTTTACAATTATGAGAATATGAATATAAATTTAAGAGTGGGGTGGCTATTTTGATAATAACCCATCTCTCTTTTTCTCAGAAATCTCCCTTCGTGTTCTCCCTCTCCTTCTCTCTTCTCCTCTTCTCTTCTCCTCTTCTCCTTTTATTCTTATTTATTTTCTGTTCAAAACTAAGACTGGTTGTATTCTTGTACGACTACTTGGTATCAGAGCAAGATCTAGGGCTTCTCATGTTAGTCTGATCCAGCCGACCACATGAGAATTGCCTAGGGCTGGAAGATTAGAAAGATCCTTCTTTTTTCGGCTGATTCTTGGAGGTTATCAGAAGTTGTAGCAGCTGTCCAAAGATTGGATTGTGTTCTTGATAATAAGGAAGAATCAAAGAAAGATAAAGAGTCCAAGAACAGTTTTTTTTATCAAGACTGAAGGTGGCGATCAGAATTTCCAGAGGATTTTTAGATCAAGATCAGTTTTTTTATCAAGACTAAAGGTGGTGATCAGAATTTCCAGAGTTTTTTGGATCAAGATCAGTTTTTCAGAATTTTCTGGGTAATCTTTTATTCTTTCTTGAGGCCAGCAGCAAGGTTAGTTTAATCTAAGAGGCGCGGCTATAAAAAATTCACTTTTTTATCATTTTTTAGGGTTTTAAGAGAAAACCCTAAAAATCCAGTGTGAGGGATGTCAACTTAAAAAACATTGTAGACATTCTTTTCAGTCAAATAAAAAAAGTTCTTCAACTTTTTATACTGTTCACACTAATGTTTGGGAACCATATCATGTTCCTTCTATGAATGGTTATTGGTATTTTCTCTTATTTGTGGATGACCATTCTAGATATTCATGGGTATACTTGATGAGATCTCATTATGAGGTGCCCGCTTTGGTATGACAATTTCATCATATGGTTCTTACGTAGTTCGGAGTGTAGGTCAAGGTGTTTAGGTCAAATAATGCTAGGGGATACTTTGAAAAAGACCCGGCATCTTATTTATTAGAGCACAAAGTGATTCATCAAAGCAGTTGTTCGTATACTCCACAACAACATGGTGTAGCAGAAAGAAAGAACAAACATATTGTGGAAGTAGCATGAAGAATTATGTTGAACTCCATAGTTCCAGTTTGTTTTTGGGGTGATGCAGTTCTTGCAGTAATCTTCTTGATTAATCAAGTACCCTCTTGTGTTCTTGGATACACTGTACCAAATAGCCTCCTTTTTCCTGAGGGTGAGATGTTTCATATTCCTTAGAACGTTTTTGGGTGTGTATGTTTTATCCATATCCTTGGTCCTCACCGCTCAAAATTGGACCCTAAAGCAAAGAAGTGTATATTCCTTAGGTATGCAAGAAATCAAAAAGGGTATTGTTGTTTTGATCCGATGTTAGGAAGTTGGTATATCACTTTCTTTGAGTCCACACCTTTCTTTTAAGGTACTCTTGTTCCAGCTCCTTTACCTCCAGTATCTAACCCAGTTGTTCCACCTACTTTGCATTCTCTATTACATCCTACTTCTCAATTTTTTACATCTCAACGTATACAACAACACAGGGGGGGTTGATTCCCTAGCAAAGGAACCCACATCACTTTCCATTAGCTCATATGAGATTCTAGGTTTGACTAACACGGACTCAGGCATGCCCTTTGCTTCCATTAATGTTTCAGTTCCTCTTGATACTAACGTGAAGAATACTTGGAGACTTTTACACCGGTGGCAAAAGTGAGTTCAATTTGGATTTTCTTGTCTCTAGCAACCACCTATTCTTGGCCCCTTTTTCAACTTATGTGAAGAATACTTTTCTCAATGGAGATTTGTAGGAAAAGGTGTACATGGACATTCTAAATGGTTTTTATGGTGATGTAGGCAAGGGAAAATTATGTAAATTAAAGAAGCTTTTATATGGATTGAAGCAATCACCCAGAGCTTGGTTTGACCGGTTTAGGAGAGCATTGACTCGTTTTGGATATACTCAAACCTAATCGGATCATACCTTATTTGTGAAGAGAAGGGGATCACTGGTGTCAATGCTAATGGTATATGTGGATGACATTGTGGTCACAGGGAATGACTTGAGTGAGATTAATTCCACAAAGAACCTAAATGTCAAGAGTATGAGATTTAAGGACCTTGGGGAGTTAAGATATTTTCTGGGTATTGAAGTGGCAAGATCCAAACATGGGATCTTCATTTCCCAAAAAAAGTATGTGTTGGATCTTCATTTTCCAAAGAAAGTTGCAAGTTGGATGGAGGCTGGTTGTGAAAACAGGTTTGTTAGTTAGTAGATAAAACAACAGAAATACAAATTTGCAATCATAATTCATAAAATACAAATGAAGGAGAAAATACCTGGCGTGATGGAATTGTGCTGCTAAAGTTTTTCTCTCCATCATCTTTCTGAGGAATATAAGCTAGAACGACCAAAGCATCACCATAGGGAGCAATTCCTGAAATAAAATAGCTAGTTTGGAAAGATGCCATGATATCCACATGCTTCATATGAGATACTGGCCCATGCCTTTGTATCCCATTGGTTCCTGCATATTGATTTGTCCTAATTGCAGCAATTTTTATTGATGTTCCCCAGCCAATAACCAAGAGAGTATCATCCTAAATAATGTTAAAATACAATTAGCAAGGATTTTAGCAAATACGAAATGTGAAAAACTTTCACTCACCTGCCAAACTAAATGGTGGAGCAACAGCTCAGGACGTGGGCTTCCATGTGGCCTCTCAATAAAAGTGATTCTCTGATTATTGGCTGTGTCATAAATTTTCACACCGACATCATTGGCCCAAGCAATAAGAGTTGTCCTCCACTTCACTGCATGTATTGGGCCTTCACCAGAGTGTAGAACCTACAAAAAGAGGCACATTACAGAATCAGATATTTTAACAGATTACTTAGAATGTCGTATTCATCTACCTCCAGAAACTAACTTTTAGCAATACAAACCTGGTCACGGTAGCCTATCCATTTCTTTGTATTTAGGTATAGATGACCTGCTAAACCACCAGCAACAAACCTCTGTGATGATTTTCTTGAATAATAAGGATCCAGAGAAATAGCCTTCATTGGACGAAGATACTCAAATTTCATCCGGTCATCTGTAAAAAGGTTGTTTATTACAACATATCCATCATCCGAGCAGCTTCCTACATATTCACCTTCTGTGTCAAAGCTTAGATCATTGACCATAGCAGTATGAGCACGGAATTCCTTGACCTGTGCAAATAAAACACAGAAATAATTACAAATCTCAAGCAGATGATTTTTACCATTAATAAAGCTGGTAATGGGGCCTCCCAGAACAACATGGGAAAAAAAATCATTTCATTCTGGTTTCTCCAACATTTCAACACTCAAACTCATCTTCTAAAATGAAGCCACATAAGTGTGGAATGGGAAAATTAAAACAATGAAAAAAGAGAGAGTATCACTTAGATTTCAAGGAGTAGATTCAATCCTATCCTATCTTTGGCAATATTAAAGTGATGGATAATGAGAATGAACATATGTATCAAAATCCTAAGAAAAACCAAAAAGAAATGATGTCATTCCATGTGGAATCAAAATCCCTTAGCCATTCACTTCGTTGAAGTGCTAAAGAGAAGTTCAGATTTCAGACAATTTGAAGCCATAACTATGACCTTTACCTGGACATCCAAGGCGTTCCCTTTATGCAATGCATTGTTCCAAAATTAGCCAAAATAATATAGGTGGTTTACTGGTTAATAGTTAGTAACAACGAGGGTAAGATTTAGTCCCAGCTCAGGGGTTCAAGTCCCCAGACTTAAACAACTGAAACATCTATCACCCTCAATTACCTCTCATTACTTGTTTATATGTAAAGGCATTTGTCAACTTAAAAAATTTACTGTCTCATCCCCCTGCACTCTCTCTTCCATCAGACAACCCTTTTTTTGATAATAAATGAAAATTTTTCATTAAAAGAAAAAATGTACAATCCAGCTAGGGTGTTAAGGAAACACCCACAGACAAAACAAACAAACAAGATACATCAACAAAAGAAACTTTACCATGACTGCTACTAATTTTCTCACACTCCAGCTCTTGCCTTCAAAACATCTTCTATTTCTTTCCTTCCAAATGCACCAGCAAACAGAAAATGGGATGCACTTGCTACCTCTGGTTTTTGGCCAAGAAGAGAAAATTTCTGAAGGAGAACTGGGATGAATATATCTCACCCCAAATAAAGCTGAGAACAATTTCCATATCAAACCAGCCACTTTACACAGAATAAACAAATGGCTAACAGACTCCTCTTGCTCTTTGCATAAATAACAAATACTAACCATCACGAAACCTCTGCTCTATGGTCAGCAGTTAAAACACTGTTCATGGCAATAAACCAAGCCAAAGCCTCCACTCTCGGGGGAACAGGATTGCCCCAAATTCCTCTAACCTGGTCAGACTCCAAATTGATTCCAACATAGATCTAACTAGAAGGATTTAACAGAAATTTTCCCATTAGAAGATTCTTCCCATTACAGGTCACCCATTGATTGGTCTGAAACCTTAATTTTCTCCATCTTCTCCAGCAAAGCAATACATTCTCCAAACTCCAGATCAAGCAAAGGTCTCCTAAACTTTGGGCACCAAACCATCTGCTCCCCATGCCTCTCATAGCATTTACTGATAGTTATCTCGTGCTCAGACAATCTATACAGCCTTGGACACAACTCATTCAGCTTACCAATCATCTTCCCATAACCTTATCCTAACACCACCCACAATAAGAACTTGATTAGAATCTTGAAATCCTTACTGAACCTCATAATTCCCTTCCAAACACTAACCCCATAAGATGAACTAGCCTCCCTTGATTCCCACCCAAACCACACCAGCCCATACTTCCCCACCACCACTCTCCAAAGTGAATGTCTCTCCTTCACCTGCCTAAACCTCCAAAGCCACTTCCCAAGTAATGCCTTATTAAAAGATCTCACTCTTCAAAACCCCCAACCCCCTCTCTCCTTCATCCTGCATACCTTATCCCACCTTACCAAGTGAAACTTTTATGCTCTTTGTGACTCCAGTGCATCACCGTCCATAGAATTGGCATTGATATTCATAAAGCATTAAAAACATCAGCATCACCTCTCAAGGTGAAATGTGGCTTTACTTCTCATAATGATTAGAAAGTTTCAGTTTCATTTGATGCAAATCTGATTTAGGTTATCTACCTTTCTATACCCTGAAGTTCACATTCAACAGTTTCAGATTTTAGGACATGAACATAGGACAATCTGTTTAAATGCTCCATAAAACTTCTTAAGCAATATGCTCTCCTTTTCCTCTGCTTTATTAGCCAATTTCTTTTCAACTGAGCACTGCACCTTCATGGGCAATGACGATTTTGACTACAACTATAACCATTTAGCAAGGTTCTTGTCATATGTCTCATGTCCTTGCTCTACTCTATACTCCTAAACATTACATTTTCAAGCAATAAGCTTCTCTATTGCCTAATCAATGGTGGCAATTCACTACACTACATACTATGTCAATAAAACTGATAATCCAATGCACATAACTTCCTAACAAGTTTTAAAATAATTATTACTGGAATCCAAGTCAATGCCCATAAATCCTTTCAACGTTCAGAGCCAACTATAATATTACTGTGGAATAAAAAAGGGATAATAGCATATAAGGGCAACTTTTGGGCCCTAATATCAATAAAAGTAATATTTAAAAAAAAAATAAAAAATAGATGAACTTTTTAAAAATAATATCAATTAAGGATAAAATCACTGTTCTTCTTCTTCTTGCAATCTGTTCACCAGCAACGTTGCCAGAGGTGGGTGGAGGCAGATGAAACGAGCAACGGGAATCGGGAGTATCACACCAACAATCGCCTCCGAGATCATAATTCAGTGACATCCAACAACTAAATAGACTTCATGCTTCCCATCTCAGTCTCAAAAGATCCAACCAGACGACCATTAAATCTAACTTACAGAACAGGAAATATAACTCTTGAAATCAGAGTAAATTCCATGCCAGTATCAATTTTAAGTAAAGCAAACCTAACGAATAACAGATCGATAGAACTACTGATTGAAAGGGAATGATACATCAGGATTTGAAACTTCACAGACTTCTTATTCTGAACAGAGTTTAAGCCTTGAACAGAAGAAAAAAAAAAAAAGAAAGAAAACTAACGCACCATGGGCAAGCAAAAGCATCATCGGAAGGGAAAACAAAAACAGATAAAAAAAAGTTGCAGAGAACTGATTGATTCTTTCTAAGAAACTTCTAACAAATATATTAATTCAGAATCGCAAAAGATAAGCACAACTAAAAGAAGATAAATAACTAGTTAACCATAGATTAAGTATGTGAAATGCGGTAGAGGTGGGTGTGTTAGAAACTTGACTGAAGCTGGTTCGGCAGGGAGCTTCTTCACTGGCTCTGAGAGCCAGCCCAATGACTATTACTCCATGGCAAGAAACTAGGAGAAGAAACGGAAATATATATAAAAAAAAAAAAGAAAATGACGCAAGCAGGACTTACCTGGGCAGATTTTGGCCTGACTGAGGACGATGTACACTGGAGATTTCAGTTAGCTCAGCTCCGAACTGTTTCTCAATCAACGGTAACGAAACGGTTTGCGATCGAAAGTTTGATGGGAAAGGATGATCCCCTTAACTGTAAATCTCCTTCGAAATGGAAAGGGAGGATGGAAAGGTCAGATTTCCGTATTTGCTAATGTTTCTGGTTAACCGGTGATGAGGACCGAGAACAGAGCTTTCGGGTTAACCAGTGATGAGGACCGGGAACAAAGCTTTCGTGGATTGTTTACAAAAAGCCTTGAACGGTGGGGTGAAGAGGAGAAATGATACAGGAAGAAAATGAAATCGAGCGATGGTTGAGATATCAGATATACGCCGGAGTTGTGTGAGAATGCTGGGATAGTACTGCCGTTGGAAGTTCGGTGTTCTCGAAGAAGGTGGTGAACAGGGCTGGTCGAAAGTAGGTGAGGAAGGAGGAGAAAAAATGGGTAGAGAGAGAGAAGTGGCTTTCTTGATCGTTGGAGACGACAGCCGGAGGCGGAGACGATAGTCGGAGACGTGCCGGAGGCGTATCGGAGGCGGCGATGGGCGGTCTGGGAAGAAGATGAACAGTAACTTTGTTCGATATTAATTTTACAAATTTATTAAATATGTTATTTTTATTAATATTAGAGCCAAAAATTACCCTTAACTTATATAAACCCAATAAAAAACAACATTTAACTCAACTAGATTGTGGTCAGAAAAAGTTGACAATTTCAATACCCAGATGAGGTTTTTTAATCACTTTTCTGAATTAAGCGGCCAGGTTGATTTAGAAAAAGAATAATATAAGCTCTGAAATCGAAATAAATACATAATTGAATTGGATAGCAGAGAGCGGGGGGGGAGAGAGGTAAATTACCTACCTGATTGCCCAAGAAATCAAGAATGCGAACGAAACCGTCGTGGGTGCCAAGAGCGATCATACGCTCGGAGACAGCAATACAGGAGGCGGCATCATTGGAAAGAAGCGAAGGGATACTCCCTCCCATTCTCTGATACTTTAGCCTGGGCTCTTCTTCTTCCTCGTCTTCATCCTCAGCTTCTTCTTCGTGCTCGTCTTCTTCCTCTTCTCTCTCATCATCACCATCGATGCCATTTTCCGAGTGATTTTGAGCCATTTCCTCTCAACTCTTCCTCTTACTTCCTTCTCAGTTTTCCTCTGTTCTGCCTTTTCTCTTCTTTGTTAGAGAAAGAGAGAGAGAGAGAGAAAGAATAATCGCTTAAGATCTGTTAATAGTAGTAATCAGTTTGCTGAGCTTCTTCGGCTTGATCTGAGCTTTGATGGTTTATTCTTAGCATCTCATTCAGTACTTGTTCATCATTTATTGACAACAGAATAAACGAAAATAACGAGAGCCACCTGTACTCCCCCCCCCCCTCTCCCTCTCTCTTCCACCCTCCTTCCTTTTTTAGAATTTTGCTGAATTAAGTTAGAAAACAAGACAAACTAATACTAATGTTATTTCCGTCTTCCTTTTCACATTTTCAAGGAAGGTTGTTCTCTTATCCACATCCTGTAGAGAAAGAGAGAGAACTGTAATTCCAGTTCATAGAGAAAATATTCGAAATATACACTTTTTATATCCATGCTATTTGCTTTTTTTTAGTTAAATATTTGAAGAAATACAGCATAGTAGCATACAACATATTTCAAATAAAATATGAATACATTTATTTGCATTCTCCATTAACTCACATATAATTAATTCTTTTGGGTGTTTAGAAGAGGAAAGGAAGGAATCATCTCAATTTCATAATTTCAATTTATTCCTATCCTTTTTGGATCCAGTGGTTCATTTAGCCAAAAAGAAAAAAAAAAAAAAAGAAAATAAAAGTGGTAATCCGTAATGGTTTATAATTTGCCACCTCAGTTACCCCTTTAAGAATACTATTCTTTTGTCCATGTAATGAACCTACCCACAAAAAGAAAACAATAATCAAATAAATTGATGAATATTTAACATAATTCTCTAATTTACTTCAGTGATCACTATTGGGTTGTTCTCTTGATCCCATTTCTTTCTCTTTTCTTCTAAATGATCTCAGATCACCAAAAAAAAAGGGAAATATGGCATTGCAACTGGCTGCAGAGCACAATTCCGCAACATTTTCATTCCCAATATGCTCATATTTTTACATTTCATTTTCCCCTGTTTTTTGTTTACAAATTGTATCATGATCATGTCCTTTCCCTTATCCTCTCCATTAAAATATTCATCAATTTGTTGATATGTTTGCACACTCCTAAATTTTCAGTGTATGATATATTATATCCACTTTCCTAGCATCAGGGAAATGTAATTAATGGTAACGATTCTAAATAAAGTGAAATAGAGGGACAGGACCTAAATACTTGGAAGTAGTCCAGGGAAAAGAGTTGCTTCTATATGTGCATGAAGTGAACCAAAAACCACTCTCTTTATCTATTGCACTATAATGCTGAGAAAGCTAGCCATTTCCCTGTAAAGAATTATCAAGAGAAAAGCAAAAAGTCTCACAACATGTGGTTACAGTTACATCTGATAAAGCTCATCTCCTGTGGAGAAGCTCTGGCCATGTGCACTGTCCAGTACTGGGACCTACAATCCCATGCCTCTACATTGCTCTTAGTATTTGTCACTACCATAATATCAGATAGAGATCTCCCAGAAACAGGTTTGATAGATGAGTGACCTAGCAAATGGATTGAGATGAGTTAAGAATCTGAGGCATGACAGCATTGGGAATTGCTGGAGGGATTTCACAAGCTTGCCAAGTTGCTCTCTATGCCGCGACAATTTATAGCAAATCGATGCCTGAGACGTGTCAGAAGAAGTCTGATTCTCATGACAACTCATCTCTAGGTAACTCTCTCAGTAGTCAGTGGATGACCACTTAAGCAAAAGAATAGATGGAAGATGCATGGATTTGATATAATTTTCTATCTTAATTGTGGGGTCTAAATAGCCAGATTGCTTAGACCAATTTCCCTACAATGAAGTGGAGAGCTGGGTTTCTTAACCAACTGAAGTAGTGACCCAGAGTCCCAGAAAGATTCAATGCATGAACAATCAAGAGGGCTGATAGGGCAACATAGCTGAATTCATCCTCCTCAGGCTGAAAAAATGAATGAAGATTTGAAGGCATGAATTGCAGACTTGCAGTTATATTTGCAGCAATCGAAGACAAATATATATAACTCTGCTATCATATGTTAACAATTGATAGGGCACTGAATATAGCAGAATGGCTGAACAAGGATGCATCTAACCAACCCCATTAATGGATAAAGCTCAGTTTAGTTGAGTTACCATCATAGTACCAAGGTGGAATGAGACACCTGTTCTGTCCAGCAAGAGAAAATGTAATGACCCTTGATGTTGTTGAGTAGGAGAAACCATGTGTCTCATTTAGGAGCTGTGTACTGGCTACACAATCCATTGGCTTGTAAGATTAGCGTTCTTCTAGGCTGTGTTTGGTTTGAAGGAAAAAGTATGTAAAGGTTTCCCTACCTTTTCCTTCCTTTCCCTACTTTTTCCTTCAAACCAAACATAGCCCTAATATCAAGGCTTGGTTTGTTTGCAGTGCTATTTCATTTGCACTGTGAACATATGGGGCACACATGATTTGATTGCAGATTTTGATTTGTTTGTTTCAATATTCACTTTAATTTGTTTATTTGCACTGCAGACAAGATGAAATAAAGCCATGAGCAAATAAAACTAAAATCCCTAGTAACAGAAAACCAATATTTGCATTATTTTTTTCCATTTGCACTCTCATACATTTGTATTAGTACAAGTGAAACAACAAAGGAACATCTCTTTGCACAGTTAATTAAGGCTATGTTTGGTTAAAGGAAGGGAACATCTCTTTGCACAGGTTTGTATAGGTTCCCTGTCTTTCCCTTCCTTTCCCTACCTTTTCCTTCAAACCAAACATGGCCTAAAGGCTTCAATTCTTCACTCTGCTTGCTCACATCTTAGAGTTAGCTGCAAGGCAATTTCGATGCACATAAACATAACTCCAAGTTCTTGCATTATAAGAGCTTCATCCTTTTCCCCAACCACAAAGTTCAGTACCACACCTTGTCTTCAAAGTGAGATGCAGACTTTGAAAAGGGTTGGTAGCATTTGGGGCCACCCGGCCTGTCCTTTCCTTTTAAGACTTGTTAGAATTCAAACAAAGCTAAGGAGAAAGTTCCCATTAGTACCAAAAGCAAAAAGTAAAACATTTGTAGAGCAATAATACACCCTTGATTGGAAGGACATGAATGGAGGTTTAGATTGAAAGTCGCCTTTCATTTATGTACACAAACCTTGTCAAAATGCCTCCTAGTACTATTTTTATGACAAAGACCCACCCTGTTAATCGGCTTGATGGTAAAAATAAATCAATGAAAATGCCCATTCAAAGTTTTGTATTCTTTTGTGTGTTTATATCTTTAGTAATTTTTTAATGCAAATTTTCATTTTTCTATATGTTATATTTTTTCTCAATTTCTTTTTTATTTTTTATTGCATTATGTGTGTTTTTTATGTATTTTCTTGTTTCCTTTTATGCTATCTTTTTCTTTGATGTATTTTCTGCAATTTCTTTGTTTTGTCTTTTGTTTATTTCCTTATTTTTTCTTCACATTTTTATGGAATTCTTGTATTTTTCTGTAATTTCCTTTTTTCCTTTATCTTTTTGTTTGTATTATATCAGATTTTTACAAAATAGGTTCATAAAATGATACAAGGGCAGTCTGGACTCTTCTAAATGTTTAAATATTCATGTTAGCATATGACACTCACATGAAAACCAACTGAGGAGTAAGCCACTTGGTGCATTGGATGAATTATCTCAACAGTGGTACGGTTTTGAATCTTACTATTATCAGTAAGAAAAGAATTGAACGATTAGTTGAGGTTATTGATGTGATGTTGCACTCTTCACTTAAAAAGAATAACGACCCCTATGGATACGAAAAAAAAAAAATTGAAGTTTGGGGGTTCAGTTTCACTACCCCAAAGTAAAAGTTGCCTTCTATAAATAGCCCTTTCATTCTTTTACCAAAAATGACTGAAAAAATGGAAGCATAAATGATAGGCAACCACCCCTGTACTAGGGGATAGTGACACTTAGCCCCCAAGCCTTGTCTTGCAACAAAACTCCTACCTTTATGTCCCCACTATCAACATTTTAGCAGCTAACTTCATAAAAGATTCTAATGCACCTATAATATGCATGTTTTAATATTTCAAAACCCCAAACTACCCTTATCTCATTTTATGAGTGTTTTGTCATTTCAACTTGGTTTTTTCTAAAACCCCATCTCCTATTTTTCGGATAATTTACAAAGACCCCCTATATTATGGGGTCATTAATAATCATCACCCTTTGAACTTTCATTTGCAACAAGTTCCCCCTGAACTTTCACTTTGTGATAAATGCCCCCTTTATTTAGAGTTCCATCAGTTCACTTAAAAAAAATATATTCTTATCCAGTTGTTTATAGTTTTTTAATCCCCAAACTACCCCTTTTTTATTTATTTGAATGATTTATTATTCGACTGGTTTCCTAAATATGATATTGAAGTCCTTTTGGTTGCTCTCTAATATATCTTTTTTTTATCAACAATAGAAAAAAAAATATTGAATTAGCTAGAAATCAAAATGAATTACAATTTTTGGGTAACCTTGGCTACTCCCTAAAAAAGCTTAAAAATAATACATAAAATCTATAACTTATTTACATTACAATTGAGCCCATAAAACACTGCTCTCTATTTACACCTAGCTTAGATGGATGATTTGCAAAGCCATTAGCCGATCTTGTTATCCATTGAATGGGCACCAACATTTCCTTTGAAAGCCTTCTAAACTTTTTGATCTCATTTCTGAACTGCCAAGGAGCTTTCTCTTCTTGTTTCAATTAGCTGATAGTTACCTTGGAATCTCCTTCAATTACCAACTTCCTCACCCCTAGTTCCAT